CTTTCTGAAGAACAAATCTTCATTCACAAATACTCCTGGTGGAAGTTGAGTAGCTCTCTGCAGGAGGAAATGGTTGGGCGTCAGCGCTGAGCAATCATCAGGATCATCTGAAACAGCGATGATAGTGAGGTTATTAACTATGGACTCCACTTCAGCTAATAGTGTCCTCAACTCGACATCATTGAGAAGCCCGTCTCCAGCTGCAATCTTTAGGTGTTTCTTCGTAATCTTCACCAAACTTTTCCGTACTCCGGACATATGGGGGGAAGCAGGTGGCTGAAACACCCACTTAATGCCCTTCTGCTGCAACTGCTGTTCAATCTTTTTTTTTATTCCGATGAGCAATGGCGTCATTTAACTCTCTGTTGGCACCTACAAAATTGATCCCTCTGTCAGACCAGATATCCTTGGGCAGTCCTCTTCTACTTATGAATTAGCGAAGAACCATGATGAAGTCATCTGTCTCAAGTGATGGCGTCACGTCGAGGTACACAAGTTGTAAAGCAAGTAAACAGACAACCCCATCTTTTCGCAGTTCCGCCCCCGCACTCAACTGTCAGTGGCCCAAACAGATCAACACCAGTTAAGGTGAATGGAGGGTGGTACACCTCCAGCCTTGCTCTCTCCCGGCAGAGACTGTATAAACTGCTCCATGGTTTTAGCATTCATTCTTCGGCACCTGAGGCAGCTCCTAATAGTTTTCTTCACTAGACGTCTTCCACCAATGATCCACAACATTCTTCGCAGCTCACACAATCTTTGTTCCCTCCCACTATGGTCAGCAAATTCATGGTAGTACCGAACAATTAACTGACTCACATGAGGGTGCTTTGGTAGGATCATTGAGTGCTTCTCATTCTGAATGGGCTGCATTCAGAACGGAGACGATTATTCTCAAAGTCAAGCTGGGCAGGGTTTGGATTACCGTTGTAGGCGTTTATAGACCTCCATCGATTCCGAAATATCAATGGACTAGAGAGCTTTCATCTCTTTTCGAAGAGGTCTCTACGCTTACAGAGACTGTTTTCTACGCCGGTGATTTCAACGCCGATCTCTTGGATCCAGACAAGCCTCCCAAGGACGGTGGAAGTCTTTAAGACCTGATGGAAATCCTTGGTCTTGATTGCTTGATTACCAAGGCTACTCGAAAGACGAAAACATCTGAGACACTTCTCGATTTAATTCTGACCAGTAACAAGAAAAAGACGTTGGCATCTGATGTAGTAGATACTCAGATAAGTGATCATTCGCTAGTCTTTACAATTCTACGGTCAACAGCTCCAAAATCGCGCTCTCGCAAAGTTTGTTTACGAAGCCTCAAAAACTTCAACCGAGATAAATTTATTCAAGATCTACAAATGGCACCTTTCTCAATAGTCGATGTATTTGACGAAGTGGATGATAAACTTTACGCCTTTGAACAATTGTACTCCGAAATTCTGAATGAGCACGCCCCTTTTAAGCAGACTGTTGTCAGGGGCAACCAGGTACCGTACATGACGGAACAATGGCGCAAGGCAATATGGCACAGAAATAAATTATGGCGGCTATTTATGAGAGATCGGACAGACTCAAATTATGACCAGTACAAAATTCAACGCAACATATGTACTTCTCTAAGAAGAAAGGCGATAAAAGAGTACTTTGTAAAAAATTGGTCTGAGCCAGAAAACCTAAGAGAGTTTTGGAATGCTTATCGACCCTTCCTTCATGGCAAAGCAAAGCAGGCAAATGACATAATTATCAAGGAAAACAATGTTGTTATAAATGACAAAAGCGAAATCGCTGAACTTTTCAATGGGCACTTTATTCAAATTGCTGACAGTGTTCCGCCGATAAAAGAGACAGATTATGGCCAACACTTTGAAAACCACCCTAGCATTAGAGCTATTTATGAAAACAATAGGACTACAGGTGCGCAGCTTCCTTTTAATTTTGTGCACACTAATCAAGCGCAAGTGGAAAGAGCACTCTTAGACGTGAATGTCGGTAAATCTTGTGGCCACGACATGCTCCCTCCAAGGCTTGTGAAAGAATCGGCAGCTGTCATAGCTAAACCTATCACTAACATTTTGAACGCCTCCATTGAGCAAGGTTGCTACCCCAGTGCCTGGAAAATGGGACAGGTTACACCTTTGTTTAAGAAAGAAGACGAATTCAATAAAGCAAATTACAGGCCTGTCACAGTGTTACCTGTGCTCAACAATATCTACGAGAGGCTATTGGCTACGCAGCTGGGTGAATTCTATAGCAAGATTCTGTCGGATTTTATTAGTTCTTATAGGAAGTTCTACAGTTGTGAGACTGCATTATTACGGTAGACTGAGGACTGGAGGCGCATGCGTGATAGAGGGGAACTGGTTGGGGTAGTCTCTATGGACCTTTCTAAAGCTTTTGATGTTATTCAGCATCATATTCAGCATAATGACCATCTACTACGTGTACTGAGTTTGCCATCCTTTTCAGTGCCTCTTAGTCTTCAACTGACATAGCTTTCTTGGAGCTCCTGTTCGTATCAATGTCTTCAAGACTCAGCAATTGTCTCATCTGCTGATCTGACAGCTCATCACCATGCTTTACAAAATTTACATTCACTACTTGAGAGGACAAGGTGTTAGCCACATCCATTGGTCCAAGCATAGCTTATCCCAGCACAGTGCAAACGGTAAATGAATCTCCTGATTTCCCTCTCCTACATTCTTCATGCACTTGGGCTTCAGGAACGTTTGCACCAATCAGCATTGTCACCTGCTTGTGACCAACCTCAAGGATTTTAAGGTCCTTTCAATGGGGCCATCGCGACAAGTCCTTTGCCCTTGTTGTTGTGATGGTAGGATGACATTTTCAACAGTAAGAGTACGATCTTCGAGTCTATCAACAGCTTTTACTTGAACGTTGGCTTAGCCGAACTTTACTGAAGACTCGCCCAACAATGTACATGCGGCTAACGTGTTACAGCTGTTTACCTCTAACCCAAGTCTATCAGAGATTGCCTTTGAGAGAAATGTCTCTTCACTCCCAGTGTCAAGCAAAGCATACGTTGTGAAGGAGTGTCCATCATTGTTCATTATCTTAACTGGGACAACTTGCAATGCAACTTTGGTTCTTGATGCCTTGGAATATGTATGGCTGGATGTTTCAATAGGTTCAATAGGTTCTGTAGTGGTGGCATTCACATCATATGATCTTGCATTTGGATAGCGACAGGCTTCTCCATAATCTTGGACGTAAACTGCAAATTGCAATTGCTCACAGGTCGAAAGTTTTTGTTGATAGGTTCAAGACCTGCTTTCTTGAGAACAGGATGTACTAATGCATTCCTCCAGTCCTCCTCAAAGACACCAGATTCAAGAGATAGGTTAATGATATTCGTAAGAACAGGGAGCAATTCATCCAAAGAAAAGGTCAGAATAGACGATGGTAAAGGATCAAGGGTGCACGTTTTTATACTTGAAGCAGCAATTCTACGCACACTCTCTTCAGACAATAGAGTAAATTCTGAAAAATAATAAAGGCCTTTTATCCTTTAATGTGGGCTTATGATCCATAATCTCCAGCACTTTTGTTGGATCCTCCAACTCCTTAGAATTTAGGTATTCAGTTTTAATATCCTTGGGTTTCTTAACACACGCAATGCCCTGCACACTATTTGCCCTACTGATAGGACTTGGGAAAGCATCTTAAAGCTCTTCATAAAACTGTACCTTGGTTTTAGCTAGCTCCACCACATCCTCTGCCTCTGCAATTTGATTGTCTAACTTTAACCGTTCTACCTTTAATCTCCTCTCTCTAGCGCTTTTCAATTGCTCCATTTTCTTTTCAGAGGGAATCTTCTGCAACTTTGCATCTTCTTGTGCTACTGCACTAGCTTTGGAGACACTAGACCTTCGCGAACAACCAGAGAGAACACTTTGTGCATCATCTTTGAGTTCATATAATAGCAGGTTAGGTGAAAATATTTGAGTGAGTTCCATTAAGTTATCATCTGCTACAGTGCCTTAACCGTCTACAGTCTTCGTAACCTCTTCTTCCGAGCCAATCATGTATTGATCTATCGATTTGATGTAGCCATAATAGATTTTGTTGTGCTCAGCATGACGATCCTCCTCATGCTTCTTCTCAACACTTTCATCAGGTAGTAATTGAATTAAATCGTGATAAATATGTGCATATTACTTCCACTGAGTGTCTAAACCTGGGTTTCGCATCGAACTTCAGAGAAAATTTGTAATCCTCGTCACGCTTACGATAAATCTATGTAATTTCACTTAGATGCCCAGCCTTGGACCTCTTTAACGCTAAAATCCTCTCAGAAATCACAGAATCATCAATTACGGAATACAAAGCTCTTTTTCCAGCTACTTTGACATCATGAATACCACGCTGGCCTTCCGCCATCTTGTGCTGACTCAAGTTCACAATAACAATGAAAACGTACCTCCAAAGGATGAATCTCTCCGCAGTCTTACCACGTAAATCCATTTCGGGGTATATAGATTACTTAAGAGCAAATGTACACAAAAATCAAAAATAGTTCGGTAACGCTTGAAAAATCAAATTTGCCCTACTGTTGCATATAAGTAGGCCTTAGTAAAAGTAAAAACGCTATGTAGTTTTTTTCTTCAA